CAGGGCCCGCATCGCCTCCACCTTGGGCTCCCCGCCCTTCTCCATGAGGCTCTTCAGCCGGCGCTCGTAGGCCGTGTCGGGCAGCTTGCCCACCCAGTCCCTCAGGAGCGTCGACTTGCGTCCCCCGAAGATGGAGTCCTGCAGCGTGGAGTCGGTCATGCTCTGGTGGTGGAACGACATCATCCGCGGGGTGGCCTCCGTGGCGGCCGAGTCCTTCATCTCCGGCTCTGGAACGGGCACCGGGCCCCGGAGTCGGCCGCCTCCTCAGCACTGGTTCAGCCCTCACCTCCTCCTCCCTCCTCCCTCCCTGACGCCCCCTCCTTCTCTCCCCTCTTTCCTCTATCCTCTTCTCTCCGTTTCTCCCCCCCCCCGAGTGTCCCTAGAAGGGACATCAGCCGAGGAGGGTCAAGGAAGGGATCGGAGGAGAACAACTGAGCTGGGGTTTGGAAGGACAGATAGACGCAAAGGGGACAGGAGGGTATTACAGGTGGGAGGAGGGGCAGGTGAGGGTGGGAGGAATAGCATGTGTGCACAAAGTCAAAAAGTAGAAACACATGAACTGGTGTCTGATGCCCAAATGTGGGATTTGCACTGAATGAAATACTGTTGGGTTAGAGCTTGGAGACCTTATGTATGTATGTATGCATGCATGCATGTGTGTGCATGTGTGTGTATGTATATATGTAGGTGTGTATGTGTATACATGTATGCATGTGTGCATGTATGTGTGTATGTGTGTATGTATATATGTATGTGTGTATGTGTGTGCATGTGTGTATGTGTATATATGTATGTATGTGTGTATGCATGTGTGCATGTATGTGTGTGTATATATGTATGTGTATACATGTATGCATGTGTGTATGTATGCATGTATGTGTGTGTATGTGTGTATGTATGTGCATGTGTATATATGTATGTGTGTATGTATGTGTGTATGTATGTGTGTATGTGTATGTATGTGTGTATGTGTATATATGTATGTGTGTGTATGTATGTATGCGTATATATGTATGTATGTGTGTATGTGTGTATGTATGTGTGTGTGTATGTATGTACGTATTTGTTGTTCAATTTGCTCCTAAATATCTTACAGATTTTTTTACTTAGGGGATGGAATAGTTTCTTCCCATTTCCATGTCTAACTGGTGTGACTAATAGAGAAAAAAAGACTGTTCTTTTTAAAAACATATATTTTTTCTACTCCACCAACAAGCATGCCGACTTTTGTTAGTTTTCGACTAGACTTTCTTGAGGTCGGCCGCTATGCGATCACATCAGGGGGAATGGAAAGATCTTCCTTCCACCATTTTATAGACGTTGGACCCTCTCTCCCAAACGGTGTCAACAATGACAGCAGCGCCCGGCCTGCATGGCTCAGGGGTTGAGCGTCGACCTAGGAACCGGGAGGTCACAGTTCAATTCCCGGTCAGGGCACAGGCCCAGGTTACGGGCTCGACCCCCAGGAGGAGGCCTGCAGGAGGCAGCCGGTCCATGATTCTCTCCCATCATAGATGTTTCTCTCTCTCTCCCTCTCCTTCCTCTCTGAAATCAATAAAAAGATATTTTAAAAAATAATGACGGCGGCAGCCTTTCGAGAGGAAGGGAGAGGGACAGAGAGTTAGAAACATCGATGAGAGAGAAACATCGATCAGCTGCCTCCTACACGCCCCGCACTGGGGATGTGCCCGCAACCAAGGTACATGCCCTTGACTGGAATCGAACCTGGGGCCCTTCAGTCCGCAGGCTGGCGCTCTATCCCCTGAGCCACACCGGTCAGGGCTTGCATTTCTTATTCCTTTGCGTGTCCTTCCTGGTCCCCAGTGTCCCTGTGCCGCCTGGGTTCAGTGTGTGTCTAGAATTTTATTTTAAACCAGTTCTCTCCCCGCTTGGCACCTCAGCGCTCCTCTATTTTGCCTTGACTGGGAACCTGGGGCCCTTCAGTCCGCAGGCTGGCGCTCTATCCCCTGAGCCACACCGGTCAGGGCTTGCATTTCTTATTCCTTTGCGTGTCCTTCCTGGTCCCTGGTGTCCCTGTGCCGCCTGGGTTCAGTGTGTGTCTAGAATTTTATTTTAAACCAGTTCTCTCCCCACTTGGCACCTCAGCGCTCCTCTATTTTGATATGATTTCATTGTATTTTTTTAAAATCCTCACCCGAGGATCTGTTTTCCATTGATTTTTTTAGAGAGAGAGAAAGGGAGGGAGGAGGACGGAGGTGGAGGGGGGGGACGGGGAGAGAGAAGAGCATCGAGGTCAGAGAGACACAACAACTGATTGCCCCGCACGTGCCTGATCGGGGGCAGGGAGCGAGCCCACAGCCGAGGCGCGAGGCCTGGACCCAGACTCCAATCCAAGACTCTTGGGTCCGAGGGCCGACACTGTCACCCCTGAGCCGCCCGCCCAGGGCTCAGCTCTCTCCTGGGAGTTTCCCGCGGGGAAGGGGTGCGTGGCTGAGAGCGGCCCTGCCTCTGCAGACGCCCTCACTCGCTGGGGGTGACGTGCTGGGGAGGACGCTGGGCCGGGCCTCTCTCGGCTGCTCGGGTTCTCGGTGAGTCAATTGCCCGCCCTGTGGGCGCGTCAGGTTTGGTCAGTGGAGTTGGGGGTTTAGGGGGACGCCTCACCGGATTTGCCGATGCTCTCCTTGCTGTAGTTGCCTGGGACGATGCTCTGGCGCTTCCCCTTCTGGTCTGTCCTGCGGAAGGTGGCCGGGTCCGCGTCCCTCCGGCCCCCCGGCTTGCCCTTGGAGGGGAAGGGAGAACAGCTGCACGCTGGGGCCAGGGCTCCGGGT